GTCTTGTGGGGGGGGGGCCTTGACAGGGAGCCACCGAGCCCAGCGCAGCCTGCAGGCCCTGGCCCTCACGTCTCCATTCCCTTGCAGGTTGCACTCAAGAGATGGCGGCAGGCTTCTCCAGGGCCCCCGAGGGCTGAGGGCGACCCCACCTGCTCCCCGCACCCCCACACAGACCAGCGCGTCCTAGCGCCCAGCGCGGGGTCATGCCTGGGGAGCAGCCCCGGAGGCCACCACCCCCAACCACGACGGGAGACCTGCCACCCTACCGAGTGGCCAGCAGCCTGGGACACCCCTCGCAGCCGCCCTGCGAGAACCCTGCTGTGGCCAGCGGGACTACCCAGGGTGCGAGGGACGCAGGCAGCAGGACCCGGGCCACGGAGCCCCGCAAGGCCCAGCCAAGGCAGGCAGGAGAGGTGGAAGCCAAGGCCCTCCTGCTGAGTGCCCAGAACCTGGGCAGCACCCCTGGGAAGCGGGGCAGCCCCCAGGCACCCGTAGCACGGAGCCATGCACAGACTCACCTGCGGCTGGCAGGCAAGGTGGGCAGCAGCCCCCAGCAGCACTGCAGCCTGAGCATCGTCAACTCCAGGGCTGAGACGCCCAAAGACCCACACCGTGAGGTCCCCGAGAGCCCTGGGCCTGCACCCCATCTCAGACCCAGCCTCGTGAGTGCCGGGGCCCCACCTGCCCCAGAAGAGCTCAGCTTCCAAAGGTGCTTTCAGGGGGACCCCTCAGTCTGTACCTCCACTGACGGTACCTCGCTGGCCACCACCCCCGGGTCCCCACCCCTGAGGGACCCCCGGGGCCATGGCGCCAGCCCCCACAGGCCAGCCTCCTACCCCACGTTCCAGGCTGGCCAGGCTGACTCCTGGACCCCTGCTGCTGGGAGCAGCTTCCCAGGTGCTAATCTCGGGGTCTCCCCGGGTGAGCCAGAGCCCTTTCCCAAAGGCAATAGGCCAGGAGGCAGCCCCAGGGGGGTGTCCTTCCAGTTCCCCTTCCCAGAACTGCACGGGGCTGGTGCCAAACCCTTCCCTGCAGAAATGGCCATGTCCGAGCACACCGAGGGGACGCTGGTGCTCGCCTTCCACCAAGCCACGGGAGTGTGGCCAGATGGGGCCTTGGGCACAGGCCCCGCCTGCCCACCACCCACCCAGCCTGCACCCCCACTGCCCTGGTACCCAGGCCAGCCAGGTGGCCTCGATGGCACCCTACCTCCCCCTAGTGCTGCTCCCCCCAGCCCCTTCTCTGACAGTTTACACGAGAGCCTGACCAAAGTCCTTCCCGAAAGACCACCTTCCACCTGCAGCAGAATGGGGAGCCCAGGGGGAACCCCAAACCCCCTGCCCCAAAGGCACCTTCTGGGGCCGGCCTATAGACTCAGTGGGGTGGGCACCAGCCTGGGGCCCCTGGACCCCGAGCTGGCCACCCCAGGTCCCATGGCTGTCAGACTATCCAAGCTGTGGGACCCCCCTGCAGCCTCTTACCCTAAGCCTCCCCTGGGCGCCCCCGCCACTGCCAGGAACATGTTCTCTGACCGCCAGCCCAGCCCAGGCCGGCAGCTCTGTCTCCCCCAAGGTCTTTCCCTGCCTTGGCCCCAAGGGCTCCCTACCCGCGGGCCAGGTCCCCACCAGATGGACACCATGAGCCAGCTCTCCTTCCCTGCGGGGACCCCCGAGTGGCAGGGAGCCTGCCAGGGTACCCTGGGTGCTGGGGAGGTGCTGGCTGATATGAGGAAGGGCCCCGGCCAGTCGGCGGGCACCCCTGGGCTGTTCACCCACACGGCGCTGAAGGACCCAGGGACTCAGCCCCTGTTCAGGGTGGCCCAGCCCCAGGTGTCTCCCCGTGGGACGCCCAGGGTGGTGGGAGCCTCCCCCCGCGAGTCCCCGCTGCCCTCGCCCGCGACCAGCACAGCCAGCAGCAGCGCCTGCTCGTCCCTGTCCCCCCTCTCCAGCAGCCCGGCCAATCCCAGCTCTGAGGAGGGCCAGCTCCCAGGTCCCCTGGTACCCTCTGCCTTCTTCCATGCCCCCACGCACTCCCAGGAGACCGGCAGCCCCTTCCAGTCCCCTGCCCCCAGCCACTACCAGCCAGAGCCAGTCAAGACCTTCAGGTTCCCCGTGGATGGGCTGGTGGCTGAGGGCAGCCTCCAAGGCCTGGATGAGGTGGGCGGGGCAGGGCCGCCCCCGTACATGGCCGCCCACTTCCCCCTGAGCAGCGCCAGCCTGGACCAGCTGGACGTGCTGCTCACCTGCAGACAGTGTGACCGCACCTACGGCAGCCCGGCCGCCCTCCTCGCCCACCCGGCG